AGGGAGAGTCGGTGGTCACAGCCGAAGGCTCCTTTTGCAGGTGACATGGCTGCTTCTTTCCTCCTGCCTAGAGACTAGAACCTAGACCAAGGACTTGACTCAACACCCAGATCTTCCCATGAAGGGCTCTTGGAATGGCCAAATGGGTTCCTCTTGAAGGCAGAGGTGCCCCAGAAATGTCACTCTGCTCTTGCTGGGACCCTGCCTCTGCCCTTTCCTAACCATGAAATGTCAGCCAGGCTGCCAAACAGTGTCCAACACCTTGCTAGACCACGGTGCCACACCCTCACCAGCCCACCTGGAGAGGCCTGCAAATACTCTGAGCCACAGTAGGAGGCATCCTCCTCATGGCAAGACTGTTTCAAGAGACAAGAGGAAGAAGAAACAGAGATGGAAAGAAAACACCTCCGGTTGCTGGTGATGTGCACACACACTCAGGTCACATTTCCACGTGGCCCCCCTCAATGCTCTGGGGACCAAGAGGCACTGGACTCCTCAGGTCTGGGTCGCCGTACAACTCCTATGCAGTCACGTGTGCCGGAAAGGAAAAGGCCTCCCTTCCTGAGAAAGGGAAGTACATCTCCTGGAGGCCTCACACTTTCACATTCCTCGCTTTGTCCAGAGGCAGACGTGGGGAGCACAAGGAGACAGACCTATAGTGGGCTGCCTCGATGGGCACACCACCACCACCAACCTCCCTCACACACTGTTCCAAACCTCCATGCCACCCAGCCGGAGTGCACCTTCTTAATAATCCTTCAAGAGCGGATTCCCAAGGCCTACCTTGCTTGGCAGAGGGCCACAGTGGAGAGACTAGGCCTAAGAGTCATCAGGAGAGGATGCAATGAATAGGTGTAAAGGGCTCCACTCATAGCAACAGAGACCCAAAGCTCAAGAGGCCCAAAGCTCAAGAGGCCTGGCTCTCCTTAAAGGATCTCTAACCCCGACCCCCACATTGGGCTGGGCTGGGACTGCTGCTTCTTGTGAGTGAGCACAGTGAACATGTCCCAGACGGCTGGCTTCATGGAGGCTGGAGCTCAAACTAAGTCCTGGTGCAGCTGCCAGAGGCCCAGGCCCAATCCTTTTCCACTCTCCCCAGGCCCGCAGGATGCTGACTGCAACTTCTATGTACCCATCACCTAGGGTAATGCTACACAGATGATCTAGATGCTCACCCATGCATCTCCTTCTTCCAGCTCCCCAATCAGGTCCTGACTCGAGAGCCTTTTCAAGTGTGGCTGAGAATTTTGGCACCGTACACTGATGTCCCCATGCCACAACCCTACCTGGAGTCCCTCCAGTAGCTTGCTGAACTACTATAATCACTGACTTTCTCCTATGATGAAACAGATTCTTTTGGAAGAGGGTAGGGAAGTGAACAAAGAGCACTCATTCACCCGACACCAGTGCCCAGAGATGACTGACGTCCCGATTTCCCTCCTCATCCTCTTCTTCACTCTGCCTCCTCTGCAACGAAAAGAGCCGAATGCCCTTCATTCAGTGTGGGACCACCCCGATGCAGCTTATTAACAAGGGGCCCTGCGTACACCCCTGTCTGGGCAAACTTGAGAGTGTCTTTGGTTACTATTCATTCACTCATACCAGCACCTTGGGTCAACCAAAACTTCTGAATAAAGCACAAGTGTGAAAAGCCATCTCCACTCATCCTTCGGAAACTGCACAGGTGCCATCCCAGGCCATGAGACAGAAGCAGTTCGTACAGAAAGAAGCGTGTTGGGTGAAACCCTTGATGGTACCTTCCCCCACAGTCTCTTTTCAGTGGGAACCACAGCCACGGCCATGGCATTTACAGGCACAGAGCTTGTCTCCTCAGCTCTGCACCCGTGGGACTATGCTGGGACACCAACAGATGTCTTGCATGAGTCCTCCACAAGTGACCAGCAGCTCCTATGAGACACAGGTATATGGGCACCAACGCATTTCCTGTCTTGCTGCACACAGATCCATCATATTGACTTTTTGGGGATAAAGGCGTGTGCTCTGGGATGTGGCCAAGTGATCATTCACCCTTGTGTTTTCCTCTGGGTAGATGCTGATGCTAGAAAATGAATTCAGTCACCCACAGTGGCACTCCAGCAACCACCACTCTGTGGCTCACCCCTTGTAGCCAGTTCTGTGGAAGATAGAAGATGGGAGGAAGGAACAAGATGGGAGCCCCCCCTCAACCCATCCAAAGAGAAGGGACACGTGAAATACCCTGCGCTACCCCGTGCTCCTACCGCCAAGCACAGACAAGGGCACCTGACCCTGGGCAAGTGTCAGAAAAGAAATGGAGGGGACCAACCAGCACAGGACGCAGCCTCTGCAGACACGTGCCCAGGCCAGGGGAACCTATAATGCTCTGAGAGCAGCCATACACAAGAGAGTACACATCACTACATGAGCCTGCTGCAGCCTGGGAGCAGGCGAAATGCACGCAGCCCTCTGCATCCCCTTGCTTTAACCTACATTCAACCCCAGAAGCACACACACAGCAAAGTTATGTGTGTTTCCCACTGCGGGGTGGGGTGGGATGTTTGGAAGGCAGAGGGACAACTTGGGAATGGCCATGGGCAAAGGTGAGGGCCTTGGCTTTGACTGGCAGAAATTTCTGTCCATGGTGGCACCCCTGAGGTGGTCACCTGGAACACAGGAGAAGGGACATTATGTACATGCTATCTACGTGTACATATATATGTTTACATATGACATACATATAACATGCTCACATGTACATGCTATCTAAGTGTACACATATGCTTATATATGACATACATAACATACTCACATTTGGGTTCATTCGTTTGTATGAATGGAGGAAGGAACAAGTGAAGGAACTGACCAACAAGTGGGGGGTTTGAAGCTAGAGTACTGACTCCCGTGGATAGCTCCCCAAAAGGGTCTGCTGAACAACTGGCCCTCATCAAGGGCCATTTGTCTGTGTGGATGGCAGGAGCCACCGGGATCTACTCCTGTCCCATGAACTTCAATTCACCAACGCCCCCCCAACCCTGCAAAGTGACTGCCTAGAGAGACCCCTGGAGGTGAGCAATCTACCACAGTTCCCTGGGTCCCTGTCAGTTTCTCCAGCTGTCATAGTGGTCTAGACCCTTTCTTGGGCCTACTCCTGAGCCTGAAAGCCACATGAGGTAGCTGGATGAGAATAGCAGAGAGGCAATCAAGTAGCAAAGAGGACAAACTCAGGTCCTTGTGCCACCTCCAGCTCTGAATCAGTGTCCCGAGAGAGCTAAGATTCTACCTGAGATGACACAGATGGATGCATGTCCCCAAGGGTACAGAAACAAGGTCCTGGTTGCAAGGAAACAGGGCAGGGGTGTGTGTGGAAGGACATGAGGACTCAAAATCTCCTAGAGGGCTGTGGAGATGGACACACAGATGGACAGCTTCCTTTGGATGTCCTTATCAGCATGTTTCTCCTGCCAAGGTGAAGCCCCAAAGGAGGAGATACTGCTTCTCCCAACACACCAGGGGGGCCAACACAGCTTGGCACACTTGAAAGGCTCCTAGGCTTCCATGGGCTTTTTTGTTCCACAAGGGCGGAGGCAGAGGGGATGCTGGAGAGGGTGGTTGGCATTTTTGGAGCAACAGTGCCATCAAGCAGATGCTTCCAGGCCCTGCCTGTGGATCCCACTGGGGAAGGCCTATGAGGGGAGGAAGGGAAAGTCTGGAGCACTCAGAAGATTCTGGGCGAATCTGGCCGCTGGCCACCCCTCCACAGCAGGTGTGGAAGGGACAGGCAGTGGTGTTCTGGGGCCGGGCTCGCCCACCAAGGAGCCCCTGGCTGCCAGGCCCTCAGGGGCATGGCCTCAGCAGCTGCCATGTTCAGGAACAAGGCACTGAAGTTTCTGCCCCAGGGCCTCTGGCTAGGGGATCCTTGCCCTTCCTGCAGGAAGGCTACTTTGATAGCTTTAAAAGGTCTCAGGTTACTGAAGTAACCCTACCTTTGCTCCACCTTAGCATTAAGTATAAACTTGAGTAAAACACTTCAGAAACTCATCTTTGTATAAAGCACAGGAGTAAAACACAACACCTGAGAGTTCTATTCCATACCTATCAGATGTGTGAAATTGGCTCAAGTAAAATAATGACCTTTTCTGGACTTTGAGTTTAAACTGAGTTCAGAACTTACAAATAGGTTGATATTTGAATTGCACAGGCAGAACTCTTCTGATCATTATGATAAACAACCATAGCGACTATGGAGAACCATGTTTTGCTGCTTTCTCAGAAATGTCACCTAGAATTTAATCTTATTTATTCCCTCTTCCTTGCTTGCTATCCCCCTCCCCCTACCACCACGCCCAGTCTTAAACTAGACATTCTGGGTGACACATCAGCATTAGTCAGATGCTGTTCTAGTTAGATGCTCTTCTGCATGCGGAACAAAGCCCCTTATCTACCAAGTCCTTTCTTTACAACTCTCATGTGATTACCTGCAGACCTCCAGAAGGAAGCCTACTTAATCCCAGAGTTCTGGTCTGTCTTGCTTTACTGCTCTTAGTGAAGGATTACAAGATAAGTTACCAATAAAATGTGCACTCAGCCTGTTCTCTGGGAGTTGCTTTTCCATGAGCTCTCCCTGCTCTCTCATAATCCTGTGTGTTCGTGAGAATTATTCAGTGCAAAACCGCCACACAACTAAGTACACCTGAAAGACTGAAGGGAGGAAGAGAATGGGACAACAGGATGAGATGGTTGGATGGCATCACCGACTCAACGGACATGAATTTCAGCAAGCTTTGGGAGATGGTGAAGGACCAGGAACTCTGGTGAGCTACAGTCCATGGGGTCACAAATAGTCGGACACGACTGAGTCTGGACATGATTCAGTGACTGAATAACAACAAAAAATACCTGAACCCACTACTAACCAGAGACAAACCCGAGGAAATTCTGTGACAGACCTGCCTTGAGACAGGAGTCTACTGTAGAGAAGGGAGAAACAGAATCAAAGCACAACTGAGGCCTGTATTACATACCTATCAGAAGTGTGAAGTCAGTGTCTGCTTTTCCTCTGTGCTAGCACTCTGGGTCCACATCAAGGCAATGTACGAGCTATTGATCACGCCCTTTTATTATTTTAGCAAACTGTGACCTGAAAAGGAAAGAAAATACTGTTGAATACCTTTGCCACAGATGTGAATTAAGTTCCCTCAGTAAGAATGCAGCAGGAAAAATACGGGAAACAAAACAAAACAAAAACAAACCAGTCTTCTTCTATTTCCATTAAAAAAAAAAAAAAAAACCTATCCAGCCACACTACCTACCCTTAGTAGAAATAAGGCTAAATGTACAGATGCTCTGGACTTTATACTGCAAAGCCATTGTGATGTAACCCACTGTGACCATTCAGTCACTTCATAGAGTAATTTGCTGGGATTGAGGCTTGTGGCTTAACACAATGATGAGCCTTTCTGCTTACTTAAACTACTGGCCCCGAGGTTCCTAAAACAAATAACCTGCTAGCTCAGCATCCACAGATACAGAAACGTTCTCCCACTTTTAACTTAACAGATGGACAGCATCCTTTACATGTGCTAATCTGTATATTCCTACTGTTGAGGAAAAGTCCCCAAAGAGGAGACTCTGCATCCCACAACACCCCTGTGGAGCCTACCAGGCTTGGAGGGCTTAGAAGGCTCTTGGGCCTCCAAAGGCGTTTTTCAACACCCAAAGGGCGGAAGGAAAGGCTGCTCTAAAGAGGGTGGTTGGCATTTCAGGAGCAATAGTGCCATCAAGCAGATGCACTTGGAGCACGGTCTCCAGGCTTTGCCTGTGAATCCCTCCGTGGAAGTCCTGTGAGACTAGGAAGGGAGGGTTGGCACACTCAGAGGATTCTGGGTGAATCTGGATGCTGGGCACCCCTCCAGGATAGGTGTGGAAGCAATAGGTGGTGGTGTTCTGTGACCAGCTTGCCAACCCAGGAGCCCCTGCAAGCCAAGACTAACAGGGTGTGGTCACGGCAGCGGCCATGTTTAGGAACAAGGAGTTGAGGCTCCTCCTCCAGGGCCTCTGGCTAGGGGATCCTTAGCCCTTCCTGCAGGAAGGCTACTTTTATACTTTAAAAGGTCTCAGGTTACTGAAGTAAACCTGCCATTGCTCCCTTTTAGCATTAAGGACGCACCTCCTAGGCACCAGTATAAACTCGATTAAAACACTTCAGAAAATCATCTTTGTAAAGCACTGGAGTAAAACACAAAGTACACCTGAGAGTTCTCTTCCATACCTATCAGATGTGTGAAATTGGTTCCAATAAAATAATGGCCTTTTCTGGGCTTTGATTTTAAACTGAGTTCACGGCTGTTGGAACTTATAAATAGGTTGACATTTGAATCACACAGGCAGAAATCTTCTCATCATTACGATGAACAATTATGAGTGACTAAGTACACCTGAACACAGTACTAACCAGACACTAACCTGAGGAAATTTGGTGAGAGACCTGCCTTGAGAGAGGAGCCTACCGTACAGAAGGGGGTAACACAATCAAAGTACAACTGAGGGCTGTATTACATACCTGTCAGAAGTATGAAGTCAGTGTCTGCTCTTCATCTGTGCTTGTACTCTGGGCCTACATGAAGGCAATGCATACGCTTTTATTATTTCTGCAAACTGCGACCTGAAAAGGAAAGCAAATACTGTTGAATACCGTTTCCACAGATGCAGATCAATATCTTCAGTAAGAACTCAGCTTGAAAAACATAAGAAACAAAACAAAAAACACAGCAGTCTTCTAGTTCCATTAAAAAAAAAAAAAAAACAACAACTGAGAATCCAGCCACACTACCTACCCTTAGGAGCAATAAGCCTAAATGTACAGATGGTCTGAACTTTATATTGCAAACTCATTGTGATGTAACCCACTGTGACCATTTAGTCACTTCAGAGAGTACTTTGCTGGGATTGTTGCTTGTCGTTTAACACAATGATGAGCCTTTCTGCTTACCTAAACTACTGCCCCTGAGGTTCCTGAAATAAATAACCTGTTAGCCCTGCATCCACAGATACAGAAACATTCTCCCGCTTAAAACTTATTGATTCCCACGAGGGATGAGTGTCCTGGCACAAGGGACAAATGGCAGTTTGGGGTTTGTTCAGCACTCTCAGTCACGTAGCTAGAAACAACTTACAAACTCGATGGAGCCACTTAAGTAAGAATGCTCTGTAGGGACCAATCTCGACACATAATCCAAAATGATCCATTATTACAGGAGCACAAACTTTGTATGCATGGCTAGAACCTGGATTTAATCAAAGTGGCAAGGGTCTTCAACCAAACCCTAATATGTGAATCATCAAGGTAATTCTGGGAGTTCCGGGAGAGAGCGCGGCTAGAAGCGGATCATGGCCTTCCACCCTGGGGCCCTCCAGGCCCTCAGGCCTCTGGTCGGTAGGTGAACTGGGGGGCCCCGGGATATTCTCGGATGTGTTTTGCAGAGCGGTCGCCGAGGCCGCCAATTGGCAGGGCCCAAGACTGGAAGCAGCTGGGAACCTCTCCCCCCCACCCCACCCCACCCCACCCCCAAAAATGCCTGGGCCTGGCTTCCTGCCAAGCCCGCAGCGTTGGTTACCCGGAGTAGGAAGGCGCCGCTCGCTGCCGGGCGGGGCGGGCTGCTGCAGAGTCGGCGGTGGGGTCTGCGTCTGAAGCAGCGGCGGCGGTTCGGCGTCCGGGGGCCTGAGGCCCGGAGTGGGGCCAGAGAGAGGGGCGCAGCGCCGCCGCTTCGGAGAGCCAGGGCTCAGCAGCGCCGCCTCGAACTCCATGGGCCGCTTCAATGTCGCCCCGCACGCCATGCCGCTGAAAGACCAGGGACCAGGAGCAGACGCGGTTGTAACTGAGACCCAACCTCCCGCTCCTCAGCGGAGCTCGCAAGCCAAGCCGGCGCCAATGGCGCCTCCAGCACCCGGCAGCAGCGCTGGCCCCGCCTCCTGTGACGTCACGGGCCCGCGCCACCACCCAGCGGAGGGGGGGAATCCGGAAGAGGGCCGCTCTGGGAGGTCCGTCAGCAACGTTCTGGACCGCGGCGCCCCCTATTGAGGAAATGGAACGATCTGGGCGGAGAGTTTGGTCACCAAGCAACCTCGGGAAGGCCCCCACCTCCGCGTCTACCGCTCCCAGGGTCCATCCTCCCCCCACCTTCCAGAGCCGAAGCGCCCGGGTGGCCCCTTAGGTTTTCGCACCTGCGCGAATGGGAATTGGGGGAAGGGACAGCCTGGAGGGGCCTGTCCAGAGGCTATGGGGGTCTGTTTCTTCCGGTCCGGTTACCTCATTCCATCCAAGCCGCTCCAGTCCCAGTGATAAGAGAGACGGTTATACTAAAAGTTCTACAAGGTCATTGCCCTCCCACCCCCAGTCCAGGAATGCCTTCACTTAAACGAAATCCAGAATCTGAGGATGGACTTTATGGAAGTCCATCAACCCCATAAAATTGTATGCAGAATTGCGTGTGTGTGTATGTATCTGTGACCCGTATCTTTATCAGCTCATCAAAGGGGTATGTTGCTCAAAATAGTTAAAAACAAATAGAAAACACGCCCCTGGTTTGAATCATCCAAGAATAGTGTCAGAGTGTTAAGAACTTGAGCTGACAGCTGATTTGCCAGGCCTCCTGTTTGACCTGGCAGCGCAGGTGCTTCCTCAGGTCTGTCTGAATTCTTTGAAGCGGGGCCAGCTATAAAGTACTTTTGATATTCTGGAAAGATGAATAGAAAACTGGAGCGTTCTGTTTTCAGAAACTTTATGTGAAAGTCTATTACTGGTAAGCAGTTTCAGTGCTTTCAAGAGATGGTCAAAGGGATCTGTGATCGAAAAAAGGCTAAATCAAAAAAAGAAAGAAAAAAAGAAAAACTAAATCTATCCTGTAACTACATATATATGTATATATATATGTATAAATATATGTGTATGTATATATATATATATATATATATATATATAAAATGGTCATACCTGCTGGGATCTGTCTGCCTAACCACATCTCTGGGATTTTCCTAAACAGTCCAACTTTCAGATACTGTCTTCTACTAGACCTTATGCCAGATCAGTGTGGCCCAGTATTTGAGTCAGAGAAAATGGCAATACTACCTCAAGTTCCATTGTTTGCATCATTCTGTTCCATTTCTTTGTCCTTCCCAGTTTCTCCCAACTTTTTTTAACATCCAAACATAGGTTTTTTTCTTTACATTTATCTTTGACAAATAGCAGACATAATTCTAAAATGACTGAACATACCAAGTGTTTAGCTTATTTTATCCTATTTCTTTTCCATAAGGACATAAAGGTATACAACAGACAAAAACAATACAAAAAACACAAGAGCAACAAACAAACCAAACTCCTAGAAATAGAGCACTAGGGCCAAAGGAAAAGGAGATCACAATTATCCTGAGGGTAAACATGGCTGTGACTGAGTTTAATATTTTTGTTCTCAGTCTTCTAGCTGCCAAGGTAAAAGTGAAAACACAGTACATGTTCAATAGATCTTGTCATCTGAAAGGAATCAGTTTGGCAGAGAAGACAGACCCATAAATTTTTTTTTTTTCATAACACTAAATTCTAAATGTGATTTCTCATGTGACTTGTTAGGAACCAGTAAATGATGTAATAAAGCAAATAACAGATTTAAANTAAAAATGGATGCTTAGTTGTGAAAACTACACAAATGAGACCTAGAAGGACATGTCAAACGGTAAACTGCTTGTGATTATGAATGACTTTGTTTTTTGCTTCTTGTGCTTTTTGGTTTCCTATTATGCACATGTTAACTTTTAAGAAATAAATGTTATTTTAAAGGTAATTCTGGCCCTTACTCTGACCAATAATTACAAAGTGACAGAATACATCACATCCTGGTCCCCAGTAAGAGGGTAACAGGTAGGAAGCCTTGGGGCCCCCAAAGGGAGGAATTAGGTTGCAAGTGTCAAGACATTTTTTATCTCTCTCTTAAGCAGCAGGAGGAAACAAACAAGTGTCAGATTTTTTTTCTCTTCTCTACACAAAATAAAAGGTTTCCTTTAAAATTCAGTGTTACCATGACAACATCTGGTTCCACCTGAGCTTAACTTTTCTCAAACCTTGAACTAACCAATGCATTTTTCTTATGGAAATGTTTTTCTTAAGCTTTGCTAATGAACTATGTATTTACCTTAGACAGTCTTTCTTCAAGTCTGTTCTGCCTAAGACTCAGAAATGACTTGACAAACCAGCATGTTTTACTCAACACACAGTATGTTTTACTCATGCAAATGTTCTCTTAAAGTATGTTAATGAGACTAGGTATTTGCTTGGAAACCTGCCTTTTCTTCAAGATTCAAGTCAATTGCTTTATGGCCTGGGATGACTCACCCTGTGCCAATTTTATCTCAAAATGCATGTTGTGGGTGAGGGGCCTGGTGCCACTCTCTGAGTTTTGAGACATATCCTTTCTCTAATTAGCAGCCTGCTAGTAGATATATAACTTACTGCTAAAGACTCTTTCTGCCCCCCCTGATGTCTATGTCAGAAGGTTTCACTATCTCTTTTATACTTTAATAAAACTTTATTACAAAGCTCTGACCGATCAAGACTCGTCACTGGCCCCAGATTGAATTTCTTGCCTCTGGAGGCCAAGAATTTCAGCATCTTTCACAGTTCAGCAACAACCTTTCACCAGGAAGCAGTGGCCAGGCCAATGGCTCAGAATCTCCTAGAGTGCTGTGGACATGGACCCAGAGATGGACGGCTCCTTTGGATGTCCTTTTCAGTCAGTTCATACTGCCAAGGAAAAGCCCCCAAAGGAGGAGATACCTTTTCCCCAGTACTCCAGTGGAGCCAACACAACTTGGAGGGTTTGGAAGGTCCTTGGGCCATCATGGGCCTGTTTTGACATGCAAAGGAGGAAGAGGCCCAGCTTCAGAGGGTGGTTGGCATTTCTGGAGCAACAATGCCATCAAGCGGCAGTTTTTTGAGCACAGTGTCCAGACCCTTCCTGTGGAATCTGCTGAGGAAGACCTGTGAGGGAGGAAGGGAAGGTTTGGAGAACTCAGAGGATTCAGGGCTAAACTGGCCCCCTGGCACTCCACCAGAGCAAGTGTGGAAGGGACAGGCAACAGTGTTCTGGGGCCTGGCTTGCCCACCAAGGAGCCTCTGGCTGCCAGGCCATCGGGGGTGTGGCTTTGGCAGCAGCCATGTTCTGGAACAAGGAGCTGAAGTTCCTTTAAAAGGTTTCAGGTTACTGAAGTAACCCTGCATTTGCTCAGTGTTCGCATTAATGATACACCTCCATGGAATCAGTATAAACTGGATTAAAATACTTCAGTCATCTTTGTAAAAAGCACTGGAGTAAAACACAAAGTACACCTCGGAGTTCTGCTCCATACCTATCAGATGTGTGAAATTGACTCCGGTAAAATAATGGCCTTTTCAAGGCTCTGAGTTTTAACTGAGTTCAGGGCTGTTGGAACTTACAAATAGGTTGATATTTGAATCACACAGGCAGAAATCTTCTCATCATTACGATTAACAACTATGAGCGACTAGGTACACCTGAACACAGTACTAACCAGACACTAACCCAAGGAATTTTGGTGAGAGACTTGCCTTGAGAGATGAGCCTACTGTACAGAAGAGGGAAACAGAATCAAAGCATACGTGAGGGCTGTGTTACATATCTATCAGAAGTGTGAAGTCAGTGTC